CGACCCTGACCCAGGGGTCGTCCTCGTCCCTACCTCACGGGGGCCGTTTCAACCTCACCGGGGTCGTCCCTACCACACCGGGGCCGTTTCGACCTGACCAGGGTCGTCCCTACCTCACGGGGGCCGTTTCAACCTCACCGGGGTCGTCCCTACCACACCGGGGCCGTTTCGACCTGACTGGGGTCGTCCCTACCTCACGGGGGCTGTTTCAACCTCACCGGGGTCATCCCTACCACACCGGGGCCATTTCGACCTGACCAGGGTCGTCCCTACCTCACGGGGGCCGTTTCAACCTCACCGGGGTCGTCCCTACCTCACGGGGGCCGTTTCAACCTCACCGGGGTCGTCCCTACCACACCGGGGCCGTTTCGACCTGACCAGGGTCGTCCCTACCTCACGGGGGCCGTTTCAACCTCACCGGGGTCGTCCCTACCACACCGGGGCCGTTTCGACCTGACTGGGGTCGTCCCTACCTCACGGGTGCCGTTTCAACCTCACCGGGGTCGTCCCTACCTCACGGGGGCCGTTTCAACCTCAACATTGAATCTTTCATACTTGTCCACACTCAATGACATTTTAAATGCTATGAGAAAAGTACTAAATCTTTAAAAAATTATTCACTATTTGAAGTCTTTCGTAATTTTCACAAGTCAGTTATTCTTCAAATAAAGTATAACTGTCAGCAAAAGAAATACTTTGCCACTCATAAATTAATTTTTCTTCTAGGAGTCAAACCCAAAGTGATAATTTCTATACTTGAATTTAGCATAGAAATACAATCCTTTTAGTCAAGTATGCCATAGCAATGACATTTACTTGACTATTCTATGAGTAAGTTATTACACCATGAATACACAACATTTTTAATTGGCTCCTATTAAGTTTTTAAAAGTAAATAATCAGTCATTCTACAATTGGACTATGTTGACCATAAAGTCACGATTATAGATGCATTAAAGCTGTTATTAATACATAGAATGTCATCTCTCTATCACTTAGTTCAAATCCTTTATAATTGATTTCAGTTCTTTAAGGTAATATACAAAAAAATTTAAAAACTAAGTTTTAACCTTACCATATTAGGATCATACCCCAGAGAAAACAAGTATGGTTTTTCTTGTAAAACTGCTTCCTTCCACTTTTCATCAGATACCAAACCAATGTACCAGTTGCTTTCATATTCTTCAAGGTAGTTAGTTAGCTCTTTAAAGTCTTCTATTGGACCTAAACTTGCTTTATCAATCATTAGTTTCAGAGTATACCTAAAAAATGGAGAATCAAAGAATTTTAGAAATTTTTACCAACTTTATAAATGAAATAGATTTTGTTCAATCAATATTTTTAAGATATTAAACTGAAATGATACAGTTGGTATTTCAGATCAAAAGAGAGAAATGATGAAGTTAAAGTGAAAAAAATCCAAATGAAAAATAAGTTCCCCACACAAAGAAAACATAAGGAAGTATACATTGAAGTGTATTCCTGATAAAATCACAATACATAGTAAACAATTTTTTCATTCTTTTTTTTTTTTTAAATATATTTTATTGATTTTTTACAGAGAGGAAGGGAGAGATATAGAGAGCCAGAAACATCGATGAGAGAGAAACATCGATCAGCCGCCTCCTGCACATCCCCCACTGGGGATGTGCCCGCAACCCAGGTACATGCCCTTGACCGGAATCGAACCTGGGACCTTTCAGTCCGCAGGCCGACGCTCTATCCACTGAGCCAAGCCGGTTTCGGCCAATTTTTTCATTCTTAGGAAAGTGATTATTTTTTAAAATTAGAAATGAAGATGTATCTTCTTCTAGGTTATTAAAAAACTCAACATATTCTTGCCAATGTTACAATTTGTATGTAATCAAAATGAATTACCTGAAAGCTTTCAGTGTTAGCTGGAACAGTTCTGGCTTTTCAGTCATCCAATCAAGGGCAAGAGACCAAGGCAAAACACCATTGAAAACTCTCAATATATGACCAGGACTAGGATCCATATTGTCTCCACAAAATAAACTAAAATAACAAGTCATTACTGCATGAACATAAAAGTCTTTTAAAACTCTGTCCTTCGCAATTTCTTCCAGTACATTTCCTTCTGAAGGGAAACATTCCAACTGCCTTAAGACAAATTGGTACCAGTCTTCTGGAAACAATAAGCTCATCTCCCTCATTTTGGAACTCGGCACACAGTTAGACCTCCACTCCTCAGGTACACTTAACAGGTGAGAATGAGAACAACTGAACTCCATGAGAGGAATATATGCCGTATCTTCTTGTGCTCCTTTGTCAATAGCAGGGTATCCCAATATGACTGCTTTGTAAAGACTATTTTCAGTAAATTTGCCTATAGAATGATCACCAACCACTCGTGATTCTACTGATCCTGGAAGAGGCAAATTTATACTTTGCAAAACTTTTAATTGATCTTTTTCTTCATTTTCTTTTTTGGTAGTTGGCTCATCACCCAAAACATCATCAGACCAGTCATCTAAAATTTCTGAATTTAAACTAACTGTGTCCTCTGGGGATTTGGTTTGTGGTGAAGTATTCAAACCAGGCAGGATTATTAGGGATGCTTTCTCTTTATTTTCAGTTTTTTGGACATTTTCCTGCATGCTGGACCTTCTGGAGCAGTACTGAACAAGTATCCACACAAGTACTTTAACAAGGTCACCTTTAAATTCTCTTAAGTTATCACGAGAATCTATTATGCCAGAGAGGACATTCCTGGCATCAGAATAGATTTTCACAGGCAACACAGTACAGGGTGTTAAGACATTTCCAAAGTGTCTATTAATTGAACATATTTTTGCACATTCTTCTTGTACAAAGGCACCTTCAAAAACTTCATCAACTCTTCGAGCTTCAGCAGTATGACATGATGTCTCTTGCAATTCTAACCCCTAAAGAAGAAATTAAAAAGTACTCAAGTTTATGATCACTTATTACATAGAGAAAAGCAATTAGGTAGGATTATTTTTCTTTGAAAGAGAAGGAAAAGGAATTGGTTTCTCAAAATAAAAATATTAAAAAATGTAAAAATTTTCTTAACCTCAAGAGATATACCTTAACTCCAACTTAATGGTCCTTAACATATCTGATGTTGGATACAGAAATAAAAAGTAATTCCATGATTTCAAAAGAAATTCTAGAAATTCCACTAGAAATTACCAAAATAATTTTATTCAATATGACTGTAATTTTAAAAGACTATCTGTAGTCAAGGTTGAATAACACTTATTCAAACCTTTAAAATAATTTTTGGAGGGAAAAAAATAAAATTGGAATTATACAATATGCACAATAGTTTTGTATCCTTCCCTCCTACTTTATGAGAGCATTATTCTATTGTGTGGATATGCCATAATTTATTTAACCATTCTCATATTCCATTTTTTTACTATAACAACATAATAATAATAATAATAATAATACAGATTTATGGATTTGGTTATTGTCTGTCTCCTTCCACTATAATGTAAACTTCATAAAGCAGCTCTCTTTTGGCAAAACTAAGCAAGCTTGTATCCAAAAATATTAAAAAAGGAAGAAAAAAAAGACTGCCACCAAAAGGTATGTCCTTATACCACATGTGTCATGGAGCACAAAAGATCAATAAAAGGAATCACATTATTAGGTTTTATAAGCAACTCAAAAAAGGCATTTTGCTCTAAAAGGAAGGAAAAAAACACACACAGGGTGTAGCAGGTAGAAGCATTGGGGTCAAAAAGTTTTTATTAAATTGAGAATGCTTATATGATGTAGGTGTGAAAAAAAATATTAAAAAGTCAAACTTTTGAGAGGCTCAATTAGACAGGGATAAAAAGAACAGGAGGATTGGACGAAAAGGGGGAAGGTATGTTTTGTTACTATGCTCTATTACACAATTAGCACTAGTCTGCCTATCAATATGTATATATTGAAATATACTTTAAAAATCCCTAAGTGTTTTCACAGGTAACTAAAAGATACTCTTTCAAACTGAACTATTAAGTGTTTGATGTGTACATAACAGGTAAAATTTTACACATGCAAAATAAATATAGTACTACAGAGGTTTCAAATGCACACTGACCTTAATGTTAATACAGCAGTAACTATAGCCACATTCTAGAATCATTATCCACATTAAACGATCCTGAAAGCGGCCCAAATAGTGAGAACCAGGTAAGAGGAGACCTAAAAGAAATTTGAAAAAAGAAAAGTCATTGCTCCAACTTGTTTTATTTTTCCACACGAATCTTTAAAATTGATAACACACTTTCAACTAATTCACAACTCCTTTGACCCTCTCTTTACATCAAAAATAGAAATAACTATTCATTGCATTAAATTGAGCTCTCAACAGGTGATAATACATAAAAAGTCAAGGATATAGTTTCCAGAAAACAATATATTAGAACTTGCTATATAAAATCCTAACTACATGTTAAATATATCAAGAAAAGTATTAAATACTGTATATAAAAGCCATCTTTACATTAATGACTTACAACATTGTGGACATTTTATAGACATGCATAAAAATGTTTTGTGGGGCCATGGCCAGGTAGCTCAGTTGGTTAGATACACCAAAGTTTATGGTTCAATCCCGTCAGGGCACATACAAGAATCAACCAATGAATACATAGATTAGTAAAACAACAAATCAATGTTTCTCTCTCTCCCTTACCTTCTCTCTACAAAACCAATAAATTAAAAAAAGTTTTATGGTACTAAAATTTACATAAAATGCCAGGTACTACACTGTACAAATACTTTTAAAACTTAGTTTTTCTCATAACATTATGTCTGAGATTTGCCTATATTTACTGCAAACAGCTCAATCATTCATTGTAACTGCACTGAGAAATCATTATATAAATAGCGCTGAATTTGAATATTCACTTCCCACTTAATAAACATTTTGGATGCTTCCAATTTTAATAATGCTGCAGAAATTATCTTTGTGCAAGTCTGCTTATACAAGGTGTTGTGCAGGAAAGTTAACAAACAGAACTAACTGATATGCTTGAAAAGCCTGCTTACAAATTTGCCTTGACTGGCATTTGGGAACGTGTATTTCAGTGCAAACAATACAGTTTATACCAAACACTGGCTTTCCTTCTGGGAGTCTGGAATTTTGGTATGCATTAGGCAGGGAGGGTGCCTCATGACCAGCTCCAGCAAAAACCCTACACATTGAATCTCAAGTAAGTTTCCCGGAGAGTCAACATATCACACATGTTGTCACAACGCATTGCTGGGCAATTAAGTACATTCTGTGCGACTACACTGGGGAGGACACCTGCAAGTTTGCATCTAGTCCAGCCGTGGGCAAACTACGGCCCGCGGGCCGGGTCCGGCCCATTTGAAATGAATAAAACTAAAAAAAAAAAAAGACCGTACCCTTTTATGTAATGATGTTTACTTTGAATTTATATTAGTTCACACAAACACTCCATCCATGCTTTTGTTCCGGCCCTCCGGTCCAGTTTAAGAACCCACTGTGGCCCTCGAGTCAAAAAGTTTGCCCACCCCTGATCTAGTCTCTTATCCAAAGTGACTTTTCCCTTGGCTGATTACGCTATATATGCTTTAGCCATAAAATATCTTTTTCTTTTTTTAAAAAATTCTTTATTGTTGCAAGTATTACATATGTCTTTCTCCCCCATTGTCCTCTCCCAGCCCACCCTCGCTCCCAGCCCAGGCCTTCACCACCGTATTGTCTGTGTCCATTGGTTATGCTTATATGCATACAAGTTCTTTGGCTGACCTCTTACTATGACTATGTGCTGAATCCCGTGAGCCCTCCTAGCAAATAATCAAATGTAGGAATGGTCTTAAACCAAACAAACGTGCAAGTTTCTCTAGAATTGGAATCACTGGATCACTGACTCAAATTGGAATCACTAGGTGATGGGAATGTACATTTTTACTACAGACTATAAGTTTATTCTTCAAGGTAGCTTACAAATTCACACATTTCCTTCCAGCAGGATTTGAGAGTTCCTGTTCCCCATACCCGTTGCTAATACTTGGTAATGTCAGACTTTTTATATTTTTGCCAATCAGATGTGTGTGAAATGTTACCTCATTTTTCCCCAGGAAATACTTTACAACACACTTCTTGGCTGAGTGTGACTGATTTGATAATAAAGTATAATTTCTACTTTATTATTAAGGTATTTATCATTTCAGATGTGAGTTTAATCTTACAGGTATTTTTAAAAGTGGCACAGCACTGCCACTTAAAAGTGGCATAACATTGCATAATAAAAATTAATTGGAACTGGATAAAAGTATTAAAAGTATAGAATATTTCCTATAAAAGGAAAATGATTATTCACAAAAAATCTGTACTACAAAGGTAAAGTTTTTTCTAAATTATCTAACATCATCGTAAAGAAAAGCTCAACCCAAGTAAACATTACATTCATATTGTAATTTTAATTGCTATTCTGCCTGGCATCAGTTTTCTAGGAAGTCATTGCTCATTTCTAAAACAAGTTTCAGGGGCCTATGATAGGAGGTTATACACTGTTGTCATCAGCTTATACCTTATCTAAAACCAACCTTTAGAGGCATTACATAGTTCTACAATAAAATTATAAAAGTAACATAAAATTATAATTATCATAAAATTAATTCATTCTCATTAAAAATATTGCTAATTTACATAGCACTTCATTTTGGGAGGCAACCAATCATTGACCAAAACCTTTGTTATCTTACCCTGTAACTTTGTCAGACTGCTTAAGTTGCTATATAAGAACTAATAATATATGAGCAAACTCCCTTAAGCTCTTCAATATGATACTATATGAAATAAAGGTAGTTTTCACTCTTTATGGGTTTAAAGCTACTGCATCTTCTTGCTATGAACTCATAAATACATAAAAATTTTGGGAGATAAAGTGTTTTCATGTTTCAATAATGAGGCTACAACCTGACTTTATTCAAGAAAAAGTTGTTTAGCCTGGCTGGTGTGTCTCAGTGGTTGAGCGTTAACCCAGGAACCAAGAGACTGTGGTTTGACTCCCAGTCAGGGCACATTCCTGGGTTGCAGGCTTGATCCCCAGAAGGGGTGTGCAGGAGGCAGCTGATCGATGATGTTCCTCTCTCATGGATGTTTCTCTTTATCCCTCTCCCTTCCCCTCTCTCTAAAAATCAATAAAAACATATAAAAGAGTTTTTTAAAAAATTGTCAGATCATCTTACTAAAATTTTCCCTTAGTATTTTCATTTTATAACTTTACCTCAAAATAAGGAGGAGATAACAACAACAAGAAGCAGGAGATATACATCTACTTCATATTAGTCTTTCTGCCTGTACATCAAAGTATTATAATTTGTATAAGTACTTGGCTCAAAAGACCGTTTTTCTGTGTGTTCGTGTTTTTGTACTTTAAATACATTAGTGAGTATTTAAGCACAAGCCATTTACTTACCTAAACTTCCAGCTACCATTGCAGACTGCAGTGCAGCGGTCAAACTTGGGATCATTTGGTGGTAGTACACTGTATCTGCACATACAGTGGCTGCAGTGCCCACCACTCCTGGCCAAGTCTGAACAGGTCGGGGAAACCCCACCAGGAACAAAGGAAGGGTGAAG